TTTCACTTTTGCAATGATAATTTTCTAATCAGCAGAGAGAATGAGTGATGCAAACTCTAAATTTTATGATAAACGTTTTCTAGGCTAGGGCTGGATACTTATCTTTAGACTAGAGATGAGATAATTATATCTATATAAAAAAAGCATAGAATAATATACTGTATTAAAAATAAAATGATAATATTAAACATATGGAAGCAGAAATGAGAACACTTTAATTGAATAAGCCAACCATTCCTAACTGGCCAGGAAAGCATTAGTTTTAAAGTTCTGTTTATGTCAATACATCTTTTTGAAATAAATTCTTATTATTGTGTAACATAACACAGTATTTAATTTTGTGTTTTGTCATAAATTTCTTTTGACATTTTTCATAACATTAAGGCATATAATTATTGCCAAAATAGAAATTCTACAAAATAATAAAATTATTTGTCTTTAAAAATTAAAATTATTCCAAAGAAAGTAGAGAATACAGGCATCTTTCACTGTATTTTGAAAATATTACTAGTTACAAAGTTCATTGACAAGATTAAGACATGAAGGGGGTTCTTTAGGGGAGAGAGAAAGAGAGAGAGAGAAGGCTTTTCTTAGAAGTAGAATAATGACAAAAATAAGCTATCATTTAAAAATCCTTTCTTGGGGCGGCACCTGTGGCTCAAAGGAGTAGAACGCTGGCCCCATGTGCCGGAGGTGGCGGGTTCAAACTCAGCCCCTGCAAAAAAAAAAAAAAAAAAAAAAAACTGTAAAAAATTCCTTTCTCTTCAAATCTTTATCATATTTCTTTAAATAATTTGGTATTTACTCATTAAGATCCTAAAGTTCTGGACTTGATCAATTACTATTTATGAATTGTACTTAAATGGGGCATTTACATTTCAAATTTGTAAAATTCTAGAAGATGAAAATATTGGATTATATGTTATTTTAAACCAAATATAAAACCTTAGGGCAGCACCTGTGGCTTCAAGGAGTAGGATGCCAACCCCGTATGCTGGAGGTGGTGGGTTCAAACCCAGCCTTGCTCAAAAAAAAAAAAAAAAAAAAAACAGGAAATATAAAACATTGAACTTTATATTGGCTGCTACTAATATCAGAACAGACTATCAGAAACTACAGACTATCTGTAATTATCAGAAACAAGACTGAAATTAGCTTAAACAACAGTGTTAAATTATTGGTTTCCATTTTTGTAAAGCCTGGTACCAAGTGGCCATGGGTGTGGCTTGATCTAGAGTAAAAGGATTTTTAGTCTCCCTAACCTTTTTATCTTTTCTTCTCTGTATTTGTTTTAATCTTTTTTTTTTGAGACGAAGTCTCACTTTATTGTCCTCAGTAGAGTGCAATGGCATCGTAGCTCACAGCAACTTCAAACTCCTGGACTTAAGCAATCCTCTTGCCTCAGTTTTGCTATTTTTAGTAGAGACGTGGCCTTGCTCTTTATCAGGCAAGTCTCCAGTGCCTCAGCTCAAGCGGTCCACCCACCTGAGCCTCCCGGAGTGCTAGGATTTCAGACCCCAGCCTCTCTGGCCTATTTGTTTTACTCTTAGGCATGTGCCTCTCAGCAGGTGGCAAGAACAACTGCTGCCAGCAGTTTTAGATCATCCAGGCCAAAAGGTAGTACCTTTACCCTAATCATTTCATGAAAAACACACAGAATTTATTATCCTGACCTAGGTTATGAGCTAAATCTGAGTAAATTCTCCTATCTGGAGGGAAGTGGTATTTCTATTGGATAGGTTGGAGTATATGCCCAGTAAGAATCTAGGATGTGGGGTCAGCCCCAGTACCATACCACCGCAGACATTAGAGTTGGGGAAATGTGCTACTGAGACCACTGATAGTGTCTCCAAGTTAGTTAGTCATTTTATTCTTCTTAGTGCCGCGCTGTTAGTGTGCCTTCTGTTTTCCTTCCATAAGAACTGTGTTACTTTAGTATACGCTTCTCTGGTGCCTTCCTCGTGTCTGTTGTTATCATTGTCTTGGTTTGTAATGTTTCTTGTAAGTCATATTATGCTAGCATGATACCTACAGTCAATGTATTTTTCTCTGTACAACCTCATCCTAGTTTGCTTTCATGGATATGCTCATTTCACTGCCAGGTAGTGAAAGTGGTAACTTGTACTGATGATCGGATCAACCTCCCTCCTGAGGCTCTCCCTCTCCTTACTTTCCTTGGACAAGATTATCCTCTTAGAGCTTGGTTAACATTCTCATACTGACATTTTTCCATTCTACGGTTTCATCCCTGAGCCTCCAACCCATATATTTGTCTGTGGTATATTTTTGATTTGAATATCTATCAAGTATCTCAAAGGTTGCATGCCTCAAACTAAATTCATCATTTAACTATCCAGAACCTCTTCCTTTTTTTCTCTTTTGCAGTAACTTGGATGAAGTAAACCTGTTCCTTCTGTGAAGTCTAAATTCAATAGATTTCTCAAGCCAAAAATTTAGTTGTCATTTTAAAATCATTTATCATGCAACTGTGGTTTACTAAGTAATTTTGAAAGCTTCCCAATTCTCTCTGTCCTCACTGCCATGTGAAGTAATATTTTGATATAATGATCCTTCTCGTCATTATCTATAAATATCATTCAACTAGAGTCTTGTTTCAGAAAAAGAAGTCCTATCAGGCTTATCTCTAATACCCTCCTGAGTGTGAGAATCAGTGCTTTCAGGAGTTGCCAATGTCCCATGGATATAGGACCGACTATACAGTGTACTTAGCACCCCTTTCAAATCAAGTCACTGTGTATTTCTAATGAATGTCTTCTTTTTAACTCTCTAGATCTGCTCTCAGACCTTCTCTATTCAGCTTTCTGTGTTGGAAGCTCTCCAGTACGAACTAAATCAGTAGGACTCACGAGCTACAGACCTAAGAGAGGGAGGAAAGTGAAGTTAGGATATTTATTTCTCTCCACCATCCCTGGGGTACTACCTCAGGCTGGCTATGTCCCCACATTGAGTGTCATTGTTCCTAGTAATGATGCCTGCTGTACACAGATCTCTCTCCTCTTCTGGGTTCTGATGATTTCTTCTTGACATTGCTTTGTTACAGTTCTGTTTCTACTAGTCTCAGGTTACTGCACCATCCCTTAAAATTTTCCTACTGAGTGGTTCTCAAAGTTCTTTCCCCAGATTTTCAGAATCAGCATCACTTACTTGTTTGATATGCAAATTTTCAGGCCCTACCTTTGTCCTATCAAATCTGAAACTCTGGGATAGGGCCCAGAAGTGTCTAGTACTTTAACCAAGCCCTACTGGGGACTCTGATACTCCCTGAGTGTGAGAATCAGTGTTTTACCCTCTGCCCGAGTCCCTCTGTAAACAAGTCCTGGTCAGTTATCTTCCCGGGATAATTCTCAGTTCTCTGTGTCCCACTGAGAGCCTAACGGGCACGTCTTTCTGTATTTCATCTCCTCTGCTCTCTGCAGTCATACCCGTGTGGACTTCTTTCACTCTCATTTTCCTTTCTGCCTACAGGACTCTCTTCAGCCCTCCTCCAACTCACCTTATCTGAATTATTTCTATTTGGCTTCTGAAGCACTTTTCCAGTGAGCATTTCTCCATCCCCCAAAGACCACCTCCCAAGAGTTTCCACACTACTCCTTTTTGTATAATTCCTCTCACTTCTCATTAAATTACCAGGGTAATATGTTTTGTGCTTATTTGCATGTAAGTTGTATAATAGTCATAATGTCAATAAAGACTATTACAGTTACAAGTGTCAGAAGCATGGCTCCAACCAGTGTGTTCAAACACACACACACACGCACACATGCACACACACACTTACAATTGACAGTTTTTTAAATATCCTAAGAAAAGGGTAGGTAGAGGGGTGTTTCTTCCCTTATTTTCTCCTGGGAAAATTAAGCCTCTTCGTTAGCAGTTTCTGACAGTTGCAAGTCTTTGTTATTTTGGAAACAGCTGTTCTATGATCTTCTTGTGCATCTCTTGTTCTTATGAACCCACCCTCAATGTACAGGGTTTGGCCTGATCTTTCACATTATTATGATCTAACTAGGGTTCGTTCTTGGTGGTGAACATGAAGATGCAATCTCAGAAGGACATTAGGAGAGAGTGGATTCCTGAGGCATTAAGTAATATTAGTCCTTAAAAAAAAAAGACCTTCCTCAGGAAACCACTCTTACCCACTACTTTGGTCTCTACCATATGGTGTCCTAGTAAACAGTAAGGCAGAGATAAGTAAAAAATCTCAATTCTGCTACATAGTTGTATACATTGAGCACTCTGCCTTAAATTCCTTGAGGCTTAGGTATTTCAAAAATAAAATAGAGTTAATAACATTAATAATTAGGAACATGGATATGAACTTCCTAAAATAGGGCCTGATACCTGATATGCAGGACATAACCAATAAATGGAGATGTAACTAATAAGTCTAAACTGCATCTTCTTATTTAGTTTACCTTGGACATAACCAATAAATAGAGATATAACTAATAACTCTAAACTCAGTCTTCTTATTTAGTTTACCTTTCTACTTTAGTGTTTATCAGTATTCACGCTCAGGACTAAAACATAAAACATTTAAATAGTACTACAATGAGAAAGTTGAATTATAGTGTTATTATTAATTTTGATTTCAATCATAGTCAATTAAATCTGCTTTTGATAGCAGAGTTTATTAACTGATTCCTTTGGTGTTATAGATATATTGGTGCTTTTCTACCTAAATGACCTATGTCTTGTGAATGGCAGTTTTATATTAGAATTAA